TGACTCTGAGTTTCCATCTTTCTGACAGGTGTTCTTTGTGGAGTCGGTGTGTGATGACCCCGAAGTCATTGCTGCTAATATCCTGGTATGATCTCACCTAAATGAATTTAACCTTTGACTGTGACTTTGTCTGGGTCAAACTCCATTACCTATTAATATTCACACCATCTGCAGCGTTATGTAAGAACTGAACTGGATACTAATATTGTTTGAATGTGTTAACCATAATAGGAAGTGAAGGTTTCGAGTCCAGACTACCCTGAGAGACACAGAGAGAGAGTTATGGATGACTTCCTGAAGCGGATTGAGTGCTACAAGGTCACTTACCAACCTTTAGATCCTGATGACTATGACAAGTATGAACTGCTTTTCATTATTTCAATCTTTACCATTTATTGTTCTTCCAAAGTATTCTTATTAATCCAAACAGAAAAGTTGTTATATTGGCAGAATTAGACCTTGTAAATTAGTAAATAAACACTAGATGGCGACAGTAAATCACTGGCGTGTTGCATCGGCATTTGCAGGGACCTTTCTTTTATCAAGGTTATAAACGTGGGCCAGCGATTTCTGGTGAACCGGGTGCAGGACTACATCCAGAGCAAGATCGTCTACTACCTCATGAACATCCATGTGCACTCTCACTCCATCTACCTGTGTCGACACGGAGAGAGCAAACACAATGTTGAAGGACGCATCGGAGGAGATTCTGAACTTTCACCTCGTGGGAAACAGGTAGGATTTTTGCACGTTCACTCTGTTAACGCTCATTTAATGAACAGTCGAGCCAGTTTCTGAAGAGAAGATAGCTCCTGGGATAAGATGTTCTTAAACTGCAATATCATGCACTCCAGAGTTGTGACCTTTATTGGATTTAATCCTCTCCATTTCCTATTTTCTTCACTCTCACTGGTGAATATCTGTCTAATAAAGCAAGAAATGCCCTTAATGAGGGATAAATTGAAGCCTCTCCCTTTCTCTCACATCCCAGTTCGCCCACACTCTGCGGGGTTTCATTGATGAACACAAGCTGTCAGATTTGAAGGTGTGGACGAGCCAACTGAGAAGGACGATCCAGACAGCGGAAGAGCTTGGCGTGCCTTATGAACAGTGGAAAATCCTCAATGAGATTGATGCTGTCAGTACCCTCCACAGCTATAGCAATTTTTACAGCTAAACCTCTGGTTTGTAATAATAGAAACTTTATGCTGTTATTTCCAAGACACTTATAAAATATGTTTGCATAGAGGTAAGAGCCAAAGACAAACGAAATTTTCAGCCCTTTTGATCACATTTAATCTCAAAGCAGCAACCGGAGGAGAATAAAAAGGGTTATAACGCTTTGAAAAGATCTAGGTCACATGAAATAAGTCATTATTTATTTACAGTATGAAATCAAAGGATTAAATGATGACTGTTTTCTGAGGATGAAATCGGTCTCCATTTTTCACCAACCTTCAAGATCACCTTATGTTTCCTGGGCTTTATTATATTTGAAACTGGCTTAGCTCTTTGGAGACATTTATATATTTTATCAAGGGAAATTATCCAGTTATGTTTTTTTAGATTTCAAATTGTGCTGAAACATTTCTTTTCATCTTGGGCTGTGACGTGAGGATAAATGATTTGTTTTCCTTTTCCAGGGTGTTTGTGAGGAGATGACCTACGAGATGATCCAGGAGACATTCCCAGAGGAGTTTGCATTGAGGGATCAAGACAAATATCATTATCGCTACCCAGGAGGAGAGGTAACCTGAACTACTACTCACAATAAAGCGTCTGATCAGCAGCCACAGCGGCAGTAGTTTTATTCTGCTTTGTTATTCAGCTTTCTTTCTCTACCAG